CTTGCTGTTTTGAAAATTTCCTTTGCTTAATAGCAGCAATTCTAATAAATAAGAAAACATAATGTAAACCAGAAGGCAGCAAATTGAATAGGTAAAGTAATAAACATGAAAAACTTAGTCTTTTATATTATCGAAAAAAAAAAAGGGACGGCTCGTTTTCATTCCATAAAATAGTATGATTATAGAGCTTTTTATCTCAATGTTGCTGATTATTTCTTAGCATTCATTTAAGTCTCATTAATTAATTTAATTTTAATGGATAACCTAATCATCATGAATTTTGAGTCCATTTATAATTTCTAGATATATAATTAGTAAATTGACTAAGTTGGTTGTTATATAATTCATTTCCTTTGACTTTATTAGGTATATTAAAGTTAGAATGTTGGATGAATCAACGATATAAGCTTAATAGGAAGCACTTTGTTTCAGCTATGATTATTATTTATTTGAACTTTGAATGAATGATTATAACAGAATATTTATAGACAAGAAAAAAATTTGAATGAGGAAAATGGAAACAAAAGTGAAATAGAATCTAAAGAATTATTTCCACTATCAAATGGCAATGTGAAAGATTGGTTTCAAAATATTGATGATAATAATGATAACGGTGATAATGATGATGATGGTGATAATGATGACAATGATGGTGAGAGAAGTGAGGTACAATCCTATAATGTTGAGAGTGATGTAGTGGAAGAAGCTACATCAGAGGAAGTACGGTAAGATCTATTCCAATCATTTCAATAATTTCTCTATCTAAAATTTTATGCTATCACTTTGTAGAATATTTTTTGTTTGTTTTAAAATGATATACACTGAAGTGTAATTTTAGTAAACTGTTAAACTTATTAGTTTGCATGTTATTTGTACACATTTTATTTTTTTAATCTATTTTATGTATTACTTCAACTTTTAATGCTTGATAGAGTATTAATTAAATAATTAATTTGCATATTAAAAAAGTGGAAAAAAAATCTTTTGTTTATGTTTTTTACTCCTTTTTTTTTTCGTTTTTCAAGCAATTTAATGCGTCGGTTAACCAAATCAATGCGTGGTTCAACGGTTTCTCTAGTTATTTCGCCAAAAAATGACTCATCTGGTACAGTAATTAATCCTATCACTGTACTTTTTCCAACATTATCCATTAGACGAGGTGATTCTCGATCAGCACTTAGTCACTATCATTTATCAAATCTATCACCATACGACAAATTCAGTAATTCGTCATCTTTCGGCAATTTGCATTGGTACTATGATTATGATTTCTTCTTTCATTCATTTAGAATTCAATCAAATTTCATTAGCTACATTATGGATGATTGCTGTGCTAGTGTAAAATTTAATCATCTATTTATTTTTAAATGATATTTGCAAATGGTATAATTTTATCATTCAAGAGAAATTTTGAAAATAGTGCTTTTTATCAAATTATTTCATGATTTTATGTCTTACTTTTAAACATCAATCATTGAACAACTTTTAATATTTAATAGAAATTTTTATATTAATATATATAATGAAGCATGAAAAAAAAATCTTTTTTTCGTAAAGTGAAATATCAAAACAATTATACAATTATATATGCGAAAGAAATATAAGATTTGAGGTTGAATAAAGACAGCAGAAAAAAGTTGTGACATTTTATTCTTTTCATTGAAATATATGAAATTATGCATAAACAATCGCTTATTTTTATTAATATTATAGGTGATGCTACCACTATTAATCTAACCGCATATTTGCTTAAGTTTCTGAGTATTATATTGCTTACTAATATATCCTTTCGGTTTGATGCTAATTTAAATTATTTTGCGGTACTGCATCTATATTAATAAATTTATGTACAAATCAGAATTTTTTTTTCTATCTTGTCTTACTAATATCACACGAATAACGAAGTAATCATTTTACTCATTAGAATTAGAATAAGTAATTTAATGCTTAACATCATTCAATGTTTTTTTTTTCGTCGATGTTTTACCTTTGTTTTTTATTTATTCTCGAAAAAAAAAAAATTCTTTAGGTTAGCCGATATTTCATTGTTCAATAAGCCATCACAACATGAATCTAAAATGAATAAAGCAATGCAGTCATCCTCAGCACTACTATACGGATCATCAATGCATTATCAATCGCCAAGCCCAAGTGAAATTCACATTCCCACCTCACAGCTACATTTTGCGCCAACGATTTCAAAAGACAAAAACATAACAAAGCAAACTATTTTCAATGCTAATCCACAAATACCAGAGATTGTTGATACACAAACCAAAAAACCCAAAATTTCTCATTCCACAAATCGTTTAAGGTAAGAAATTTTTGCATTCGAATGGAAATTGATTTTTTGAAGATAACATTTGTTTTAAAATATAGATAATTTAATTGGTATTTAAATCAGGAAGAATATTTTAAAGATTACCTATACCATTGTAAAAATATACAAGTTAAGACTGCAACAATAGTAACATAACACTATCAAAATATATCATGCGATAACCAGCATTAAGATTATTATTATTATATTCTTAGCAATTTTTTTAAGTAATTTCAAAAATTGATGAGCAGGGAAAGTAATATCAAAGATATAAAACATGAATTTGTTCCTTGGCCATCAGTGAAAGAAGCTCAATCACAAGTCTCCGAATTTTCACAACAACAACATAAATCAATGATCGATTTTGGCGATGATCACCTAACGAAAAGCATTTCACCTCATTCACCTTGCATGAAAACCGATGACTTTGAAGTTTTTATTTTGTATTTTCATTTAAAAATATATCATACATTTGTTGTGCTAAGATCAAATTATACTAAACAGAATCTAACTCTATTTCTAGAAGATTGAAATGAGCATAAATAGAAAATATGAATTAATAAACTGCAGAGTTATTGATTAATAAAGTTCAAAACTTAACTGTAGATAGTTTCACGATAGGATTGATTAGAACGAGCAGTTGATAGTTCTAATCGAATATTTTTTCTGAAAGCTAATGTATGGATGGATTTAATGCTAACATATGTTAATATAAACTGCATTAAATGATCATTTATTTCATCGATATTACGTAATGTCATTTAGTAATCTCCCGGACTCTCCTGACTGGTTACACTTTCAAGTAAAACTGATTATGAAATATTTCCTGTTGAGTGTCTCCTGTATAAAACAAAATAACTTTTAGGACAATTCCTCAATATCTCAACAACATCAACGTCGCTTTCGTATATCAGTTTCACCATCACGACGCTTTCAAACTCAAAGTGGTCCTTCTGAAAGTGATACCGATACTAGGTAATATAGTATCTTTTTTTTTTGCGTAGTTGCATTTTTTTATATATTAATTTAATTAAGTTTAAACTAATTTTTAAATTTTAGCACTGGAAAACGCCGTTATGTAATTAGGCAAGAGATATTGCCAGATTCGACAATAAGTGTTAACGTAAGTGATAGCGGGACGTCATATCGAAAATCATCAATTCATTCCTCAAAACCGACCGAAGTTGATAATCGTAAAGACCAACAATATTAATTATTTAGTTGACGTTCCATCAATACTTTGCAATCAAAGTGTAATGTTTTGAAAGTTATTTTTGTGTAACTTATTGATTGCATGATAGTGTATCATATCATTCATACTCTTGGAGCATTTCTTTAGTCTTTCCTACCATCCTGCTATCATTTTTTTGATATCAGATACGTCCATCAGCTAAACTTTTTCTAATATGGCTTTTCTAAATTTTTAATTTGTAAATTTTAACCTTTTACTGCAAATTTTAAACCCGTTCACTACTGATAATCTGACTATAAAAAATACTAAATCATTTGGCATATTTCTCCTCTCCTTCTATACTTACCTGATGCTCGATACTGTTTTATTTTCAGGAGTTTTTTCCCAATGACTATTTCATGTTTAGGAAGAAAACTTTTCGGAGTCTTTTTAGGAACTAGTCAAACTTCACTGATCGGTTTTACTTCTAGTCTTTACAAAACAGTTGATAAAGAAATCTATCGCATCGGGGGCTATTAGTAAAATTATTTATATCAAGCCATTTACTAATTTGAGATAAATAAAAACCTCTTGAAATACCGGAAAAAGCTCAAATCTATCCTTGTTGTTTTGGCACGTAAACAATGATTGTTCGTTGCTCTATATTTTGTGTGCTTTTGAACAGGACCATATTTGCATAATTTCAAATAAATTCACTCCATTTCTTCGTCACAATAAAGAATCTTTCCAAAAGTGAAATCATCTGATAAGCTAGCTATTCATTTAAAAAAAAGTTCAATTTCTAAAATAAGAAAAATTATAACTTTTACCCCGATTATATGTTGCTTGATATCTCTGAAAATACCAATTAAAATAAAAAGTTTGCTTTAAATTGAAATTCTATTATTGGCATTTGAGGAATAATGCATCCACCTAAACATATTTCATTTAACGCTTCTTTGAAAGTAACGAACCGAACATAATCACATTGAAATTATTAATCAGCATCTACGCCAACGTGAAACGAAAGTAATTCCAATTGCAGAAGTAGTGTGTAGCATGATACCTGGTTCGTTACTTGTTCGGAGCAGGTGTGGTTTTTGGTAGAATTGAAAATTGGTAAAGTGATATTGGTAAAGTCTAGCTGTAAAGAATTAAGCATGATCATGTCAATAAGGTTTAATTGCAAAAGATTAGATACGATAATATTAGTAAAGTTTAACTGTAAAGAATTAAGCATGGTGACAATATTGTGATCTGTAATGTATTTTAAGGAATAGCGAATGTCCCGAAGGAAGATAGTAAAATTTAAGAAATCTGAAAAAGCTATATTTCTTGGAGTTTTTGGTTGGTATGAGTTACTAAATATTTGATATGTATAATGCGTTATCTTTAGATCTTCTACAAAACTCAGTTATACTGAAGGGATTTAAAAAATCACTGCTGAAGTGTGTCGATTTGCACAATTTAATACAATATCCGTTATGGATGATTTGTTTTTCAGGTGAAATGTCTTCAAAAGTGAGAAAATGTGTGAAATGTCCTCAAATGGCTACATTTTGTAGTACAGACGCGAAAAAAGCAGTTTACTGCAAGTCATGCTTTATTCAGATGGTAAAGCATAAGTTTAGCTCTGCTATTGGCAAGCGACGACTGTATAAAGTTAGTGCTGTTCCACTACATCCCAAATATTAATATTCCTGAGGTTGTTTTTGAAATTTGGGTAACCATAATATTTTTGGGAACTTTAGCATTTTCATTGAGACGTCCATTTTAAAGCGAACTTTGGTGCAGTCTCAACGATCAGTTAAATGATTAAATTTAGAGTTATTTTGATTAAATGAATAATGAGTTCTTCCGGCAATGCCAAAAATTCCATTAAAAGTTGCTGTGAATTCCAACGCATAGCCTATTCGCTGTTGATTTATTTTTATTTTTAGACTTTGCATTAAAGGTTTTTATTCCTTAGTTGCAGTTGACCTTTTCTTTCTTATATAAATTTAATAACATGTCCAAGGGTAGTGTGCTTTATGTTTCCGCATTTTAGGATGGTGAACAACGTGAGACCTTAGTAGTTTACGATGGAACTAACGCTGGTGCATTTTTGTTGTCTCTTGTTAGCCAGGGTCTGCGCGCTGATGCTCATAAACGACTTACACTTGTTCCTACCGTAAGTGCTCCATGTACTTAATTCAGACTATAATTTATTTACAAACAGATGGGATTACCAGATTTTTTGAATATATCAGTTGAGAAGCCTTATGTTTAAGAACTTTTCCTTTCGCAATGAACGAAATGGTTTGAGATTACCATTAGAATCTTTTCAGGAAGTTTATGAACAGTTTTTTGGGCATGTATTAAAATTAATAAACTTGTTTCATCACTTCATCAGCACCACATTATTCAATGAAAACATGGAAGTTTCCATATCTCTAAGTTTCTTGAATCTACATCATTCCTTCATCTTCATTTTCAAATTTGTCGTATTAGTTTAGATAATGGTTCTTCTCAAGGAAACAGATGAAGCAGTAATTGGTAGTATCAAGAAGGAAGTAGAACTTATCAAGCAATGTATCGAAGCTCCATGGATATATGTTCACATTGCTGCAGTCTTCGAAAGCAATATTTGTGATCCACAAACATCTAGCATTTGTGGCATTGATCATGTACCTCTTTTTCTATTTTTTTCTTTTTCTGACAATCTTTGTAAACTAACTTCTGATTCTCGATTATTTTTATTTGCTATTCACTAAACCTTAATTTTTACTTATAACACATCCACTATATTGGAAGGAACTCGGGATGAATGCTTTATATTTTTTTAGTTTTTAAGAATGTCATCGGACTTCTGGGATGCAGTAGGTCACAGGAATTTCCATGTCTTTACAATCCGGGTTTCATTAATTGTTCGTGCGTCTTTTACTGTTAATTCTGGTGCATCATTACCGGAATGTGTGCAACTAGGCGTTTTTACATCCTGCCTTCAATTATGTAGGACTTCTGAAATGTTTCTGTTGTGTCATTTTTCTTTTCTTATTAGTAAAAGATTCTTCAGATATCACAGTGGGCTCAACTGTTAACTTCCTGTTCATCATCGTCGACTAGAGAGGAAATGGAATACTTGTGCTTAAATATGTTATGTGTTCGGATAGCACAGAAGTTAGATGTTCATAAAGTAATGCTGTCTATGTCTGCCGATGAACTAGCCACAACAACTCTTTCATCGCTTGCTTTAGCAAGAGGTTTGTTACATTTCTTCAAAATTTTGAAGAAAAGAAATGAAAATATATTTAAGAAGGCAAGGAACTCTCTAGAACGCAGATTTATAAGTTTTAATGAGAATTGGGTTTTTCTTCTTTTCATAAATTCTTATCTGTTAACATCGGCTTATAATATATTTTGCAAGTTTTCAGGCCCTTCTGTTTTTCATGAGGTTAACGTAGTTGATAAGCGTCACGCTGATGTCACACTAATACGTCCACTTCGGGAAATTACTGAAAAGGAAATTGCACTTGTCAATCGGTATTTTTTTTTGTCATTTTCTATATCCTTAATTTTTGTGAAGTTTGTTTAGTTCTTCAATTCGTGGATTAAAATGAACAGTTTTAAGAATAATAACTATGGATAACCGTGTTGGATAGTTTGGTACCAATAGTGTTTTAGTATTTTATTTTGACCATCTCATCTACTATTTTAATAAATTTATTGAATCACGTCATATTCATGAGTTTTTCTGAAATTTTTAAAATTAAATGTATGATATGCAAAAACATACTTTCAAAATATTTTTCTATTGTTCGCAAATAATTTGCTATAAGCCATTGATTTAGATTCGAGGGAAGTGATCGATACATTCTGAATGTACGTAAGAGCCGTGTAAAAGCTAATGATGATGAGCAGTCATTGCAGTCAGTTTCCAGAGATTTTATAAGCGATTTGGTAATGAATGGTTTTACTGGTACCGTAACAACTATACTAAGTATCGCTAACAAAGTGCAGGCTCCAGCCATAAATAGAGCACGATGTGTTTTATGTGCCTCAACTTACAGTGCAGTTGAAGGAGAAAAGTTTGTTCGAATATGTTTTATCGATATTGGTTCCAATAGTACTTCAGTATTTAATTTTGTGGCTTTTTTATGTCTTCATTTCGGAATAGAATAGAACTTACATCTTGAATAATTAGATTAACAGAATCGTAGTATAAATAGTTAATTCAAAGATAACATAATTATAACCACTTTGTATAGTGCACATGGAAGTGTTGTAGTTTTTACAAACATCACCGACTTTCTGTATGTCATTCGTTGGATTCATTTTTCAAGTTTTAATGTATTATATTTTCAGGTATTGCTTTTCGTGTATTTCAGTTCTGGACCAAGTTGGCGACAAGGTTTTATTAGAGCAGCTCCTTAGGCCTCATATGTATGATTGCTAATTGATGCGCTAAAAAAATTATATGTTCGTATTACTAACCGTCGATTAGATTGTGTTGCTATTAAATAGTTGTCTTAAGCAAACCTTTCGGTTTAGAAATAATTATTATAAAGTTGTTTGTAATTATTGAATCTAGAAGTTTTGTTTTTTAGTTGGAAAAATAGTTTTAAGTCTTAAGTGGTTAGAGAATAAAAAAGTTCCGGTGCGAATGAATGGTAATTCCGAGTACTTTTACTAAACCCGATTAGCTCTCACGCTGTTGTCTCCTATTTGTTATGGAAAATTTTATTGGAATATACTGAATAATACTGTTTTTTTATTGTTACAGTTGTCATTATTGTTTTCTCAGTTATGTTATGATTAATAAAAGCAGATAAATTGATTTTTTGCACTGTCATATATGCTATCACGGCTGATCTCCAATATCATTTCTTTAGAACAAATGACTTAAATACCTAGTAATTTTCTGAGGTTGCTGACTGAACTTGGTTTGCAACAGTAAAGTAAAACGATGTGAAGAATCAATATATTCAGTATCCTTGAATCTTGCTTACTTTGATTAGGAATGAAGTTTGAAGTTTCGTATAAAATCTACAAAACATTTCTACTTTTACTTTTTTTTTCCTAATATTTCGTATGGTGTTTACTAATTTGATATTTGCAAGTTATCCGGAACTAAAACATCACTAAATAATTTAATTACTTTAGGAATTATATGTAACTCTTATTCAAGGCTTACTGTATGCACCTTCTCCATAAATTCTTTTAATTCTTTTCAAAAGCTAATTTCATCTCTAAAAGTCCGGTGTGATTATTGTAACTATCGGTTTTACAAAAGTTGGGTTAAAAGAGGAAAGGGAAAGTATATGATCTCAACAGTATGATTCTTCCTGTTATCCTGTTGACAATAATCAAGCATGCCATTTGTGATAATTAACTCTTAACATTTTTAGATTTGGATAATGCGTGCTGTGATTGTAACTTTCTGACGGTAACGATATGTCCTTGAAATATTTAGTTCATCTTTTTCTTATGGATAATGGCAGTTCTCATATTATTTGTCAATGAAATTGCCGACATCGATCACGTTTTCGAGTATTATTAACTTTCAGTTTTAACTAATTATTGAAGTTTCTTAACATAGCATTCTAAATAAACTGTAACGAATTGTTTATGCATAATTGAAGATGCATTTGCATGAACAGTTGAAGGTATTGAATTGATATTTCAAACTCTTTAACTTATTATGCAGTTGTTGCTAGTTTTATTTCTCTAATTTTATTCTTTTTCATTTTTTCTTGTAGTTTCTACAAATTAGAAAAACTTAGTTTTAAATTATGCTTACATACTGTTTTCATATAGATCCAGTTTCTTTTCATTTTTACCTTTGGATTATGGATTACTATCATAAAATCCACTATCAACTCTAGTTATCAGAATATTAGGTAAAACTAACAGCACTTGTGGATCACAGTTTGCTTAATTGGCCTTAAACATATCTTTTTTGTTGTGCTAATTGAACTGTGACAGTTAATACTGTAAATTTAATGTTAATTTCTGTAGCTTAACAATTTGTGTGTTGGAGTAGTGGTAGCATTTTTTTTTTTTACATACCTTTTTTATGCCGTTAATTATGATAAGGAAGATTTCTGAAAAAGTAGTTAATGAGATAATTGAGGAAATGATAGTTGATTGACGAAGGATGAGATAAATAAGTGATGAGGCAAAACTTCATAGCCTATTTCGTTCAGCTTTTTTAAACCTATTTTTTAACATTGGAAATTTTTTAGAAGTTAAAATAATATAGTCACACTTGCTTAGAACTTTATCCAGTACAAAGAGTAAAGTTTGGTAGTACAAAAAAAGTTTGGAGTTTTTTTTTTTCACAGAAACTTAGTATCTTTTCAAAAATTCACTGCGAAAACAATTTATCATAGCGATATTTATAGTGATTAGATGAGCGAAGGATGGGACGATTTGCCAACCGAACTGTTATTGATGATAATGTCTTACTTAGAGGCGAAAGAATTGGCACGCCTTGGTAACGTCAATTATCATTGGAAACGTGTGGGAGAAGATGATTCATTATGGAAATATTTATTTTTCAAAGATTTTACGCGAAACAGCCAGACTTATAGGAAGGTAAATTTTAAACTTAATTTTTAAACTTTAAACTAGTTAGAACTGGTTAGCAAAAGTAGCTGTTTTCCATAATGCTTGAAATAAACGGTTGTAGGAAGTTTTGCTAGAGGAATCTCGTAGAAGGAAGACATGCTAAAATTTCAAAAGCATTTTTCATCATTTTACAGGTTTGTGAACGTTGGATCGATGAATACAAGCTATTGAAATTTGAACCTCCGATAACTCTAACGGAAAGCTTAAGAGATTGTCCTGACGGTTTGTCACATGTTGCATTTTCTGATGACGGTCAGCTGTTTTGTACAACAGCTAATGATGCTTCTTTCAAAGTGCGTCCTTTCTGTCTGCTTACAATTTCTTTAATATTTAATTAAAACTTCACATCAGAATTAGGAAATGGTTATAATTAGATTTACGATTTATGGAGATACTATCCCTGCAGAAGTATGTAGGAGTTATCACATGCTAGCCAAATGAATGGAATGATTCTGATTATCGATATCATTGAATGAAACCGTTTGATAGTTAGTTGGAGTGCTACTTCAAGAAATCAGTGCAAGTCATGCGAAGCAAGGAGTCTCTATTGGAAAAGGCAGTTCATTGAACGACTAGAATATCTTTTACATGATAACTTTCGAAATCATTAAGTATAAAACATATGGACACTTGCTTCAGCTAATCTTTCATTAATTGAATTTATTAAAAATTTTTGTTAAAATTGCTTAATGTTTCACTTTTTCACTTTATCATTTTGCTATAGATATGGACGGCAACAAGCCCTGTATATTTGTTGGATGAAAGATACATGGACGATGCGCTTGGATGGGAACGTGCTTTGAGCTCTGAGTTCAGTGCAGACAATAAACGCCTCCTTGTGGCTGGTGTGAAGTTTGGTGGAATTGGTGAAATTGCAATTTATTCCGTCGATGGTTTGTTTTTTTTTTTTTTCTATAGTGATCTTTTTCTCTTCTTTTTTTAAGTAAAATTCGTGATAATTTCTTTCAAATTCTTAAGATTCATCTGGAAGATATTTTTTAATTTTAACTTCAAATGAACTAATTATTAGCAAGATTGTATGAAATATTTTGATATTGCGATACTCTTTATAAATATGCTGTAGAATGTAGCATGCACTTCTGCTATGAAAATGAATGCTATATAAGCTGAACAATTCTCATGAGTCCCGAAAATTTGTGGTAAAACTCTTTTTTTTTTTAACTGCTAACGCCAAACATCGAAATATTAATTAGCCTAAAGTTTAAATTAGAAAATATATAATTTTTTGTAGAATAACGATGTGCATTTACTGCAGATGTTCATATTATGTTATTCTGATTTAGCAAAAGAAAATAGAAGTAATCTTTTTTTTAATGTCAAATAATGCTAATTAAATAATGTTTATAAGCTGTTTTTTTTTTTTTTTTTTTTTTAGAGGACAGTTCGTCAATACACTACTTATGTCGCGTGCTAAATAATCCTCCTGAGGTGGGTGCCTGCTGGTACAACAGTTCATACATATTTAGTGGTGATATATATTTTTTTAATCGGAAGTATGTTTATTATTGAATTATTTCTTCTTTTTTTCCCATACTAGAGTAGAATACATAAATTTGTTTTGTTAACGCTACTTAGTAAATAAAATTGGATCAAGTAATATTTCATTTAATGGTGCGAATTGGTATTAAAAGTGATATCATAATAAACGGAGAATTTTTACAAGAATTTTTCTTTTATTATTTTTAATTTACGGTAGTGTAGTTGTTAGCTGTAATAATGCGGAACACCGCACTTATTATCGCTAACTAAATTGGGAGGAGTAGTTTTTATGATTGTAAAAAAAAAAGTCAGATCTCTTTTGAGCTCTATTGTGGGCACATCAGTATCGCAAATTTGGATTTGTTCATCATTATCGCCGGATGCAGTTGGTAATGAATCAGTTATGAGTCCTGTTTTTCGGTACAGTTTTCTCTTTAAACATTTCTATGTTTTTTTTTTTTTTTTTTTTGTTAAAAGAAAAAAAGATTTTCCCTGTGAAATTTGATATAAAACTTTTCCATACCGAAATTTTAGGTATGCACAAAGAGGGGAGAAGTTTTATCTAGCACGTATTGGCTTTTAAATTGTTACGGGTTCGTAGAAAGCTATTCTGAGGCTTTCCTAAGCATCACTGCAATACGTCTTCTAAATTGGCGCAATTTCACACAAAATTTGTTTGAAAGAAGCTCATTGCGTCTATTAATTAACCTTTGTTTGCCTGTAAGTTAAGATGTTAGCGTGTTAGTAAGTTTTTAACTCATTCATTCACCAATACCTTAACATGTATTGTATGAAGAATCCTGCAACCAGTTAGTGTTTTTACATGCTGCTTGTATTATTTCTAGACGCTGTTTAAATATTGATAAAATGTTCGGAATGTGATGCAGATTATTTTTGTTCAGGATATTGAATCGAGGTGGGACGTATTGTCAGATGATCAAGTTAAGTCGATTTGTTCCCTCCCGACTCCGAGGTGTTGTAGTCCTTGCAGAAGAAGCTGCAATTGAACATAAGGTGAAACGTTTCTAATATGCATTTGTGTATGAGATTGTATTGCTAATAGAGCGTTTACCAGTTCAGTCCACCTGCTACTATTTAACTGAATTTTTTAAAGTATAAAACTTAACAAAAGTCTGAAATTTAAAAATTTTGAATGAGAAATAGAAGTACATGATAGAAGAAACATGAAACTAAATTAACTAATTAATTTTGATATGGATTACTTTTGCTATCGTGATTTGTTTCCGGAATGTTTACGCAATTCGTGTTTAGTATGTAGTCTTGCCTTGTATATTACTGTTTTT